ATGTCTGAATGCCACAGCACCACAAAATTGTGTCTAGTTTCGTGGATCTTTTAAAATATAAGTTGACAGGATCATAGAGCTAGAAAAGCCTTTGAAGCAATCTTTTTCCAACTGTGTCATTTTACAGATGAAGAAACTGAGACCCAGGGAGGCTAAATGGCTTGCCCAAGGTCACTCGAGTAGGAAGCATCAGAGGTGGGGTTTGAACCCAGGCCCTCTGATTCCTGAGCCGTGGTTCTTTCCACTGTACCATGCTGCCTCTCTCCATAAGTTGCCGTTAAAATTGAAGCTCACTCATCTTAACATTAGCAAAAGGCCTGGCTAACATGAAGCTTTGAAAGAATCAGAGGGATTCTTCATGATTTGAGCTAAGAGAGGCAACCACTATGCACTCAGATGACTAACAAGTCTCTAATGGTGCAACTTGGAATTCCCTTAGCGGTGGAATTGGAATATGTACATGTGAGGGCAGGAGGGTAAAGCATAGGAAGATGGGATGCGGAAGATGAATAGGAGAGGGACTCCTACTCCTAAAGCCCCCTGCACCTCTAGCTTCAGCTCCTCTCCTGCAGGAGGGCACTCAGCTCCTTTCTAAGGTTTTAAATCTTGCTTATATTATACAAGAAAAGGATGAGACCTAAAATGTTCAAGAATCATTTTTAGGTCTTTAAAAATACATCCTAATACAAAAGGCTAATGAGGCCAAGTAGGAAACCAGAATAACATTTCCAAAACTAAAGGACTCCATCCTTACAGAACAGACACAAGTTAGAATAAGTCTGCTAAAGACAGCTTTATTGGGAAATGCTTCAACATGCCTTTCATAAATCTGTCTGCTGCTTCATTCATTTCAAAGTTGGAAGGAACCTCAGGGACCAACAGTAGACCAATCTACCTCAATATCTGAATTTGTTATTGAGATGTATCTGACTCTTCATAACTCCATCTGAGGTTTTCTTGGCAGAGATACTGGAGTGGTTTGCCATTTCCTACTCTAGCTCATTTTACAGATAAGAAACTGAAGCAAATAGGGTAAAGTGACTTGCCCAGGGTCACACAGCTAGTAAGCATCTGAGGCCTGATTTGAACTCAGGAAGATGAGTCTTCCTGACTCCAGGCCCAACACTCCATCCACTGTGCCACCTAGCTGCCCCTACAATATGTGAATACTTTCTGTAATATCTCTGACAGGTAATCATACAGTTGAATACTTCCATTGATTGAATGCTTTTTAAAAATGTTTTATTAATTAGCTTATTTTTAGTTTTCAACATTCACTTCCACAAGATTTTGAGTTCCAAGTTTTCTCCTCATATCTCCCCTCCCCTCACCCCAAGACAGCATGCATTCTGAATGACCCTTCCCTCAATCTGCCCTCACTTCCATCACTCTCCCCCTTCTCTTATTCCCTTCTTCTTCTATTTTCCTGTAGAGCAGGACAGATTTCTATACTCCATTGCCTGTACATCTTATTTCCCAGTTGCATGTAAAAACAATTTTTAACATTTGTTTTTAAAACTTTGAGTTGATTGAATGCTTTCTACAGATAACAATTTGAAAATCATCTGCTCTTAAAAAAAAAAAGCACCTAGACTAGTGATGGAAGGGTATCAGCCTGAGATAGCATGTAGACAAGCATCACAGTAGCATCTTTCACTCCATGTACTTTTTTGAAAACAAAAATATTCAGAAAGTTAATATGTTCCTATTTTAATTATAAATTTCACCAGTACAGTTTTAGAGTTTATTTAGCTATAAGAAGAAATAGGGGACTGGAGGACAGAAAATAGAGGCTAGCCAGACCTATGATTTCACTGGTATAGGAAACTGTCTAGTAAAGATACTCTAGCTTCCAGGATATCATTTTCTCTGCAATTCAGTGTCTTAGAGAGTTGCCTAGACCAGGGGTGTCAAACTCAAATAGAAATGAGGGTCACTAAACCATACACAAGGATTCTTGTGAGCCACGTATACTGACTGAGAAAACCACCTATTAACATTATTTATGTTTTACTTTATTTGTGTTTATTTCATTAAATATTTCCAAATTATGTTTTAATCTGGTTTAGGCTGCACTTGGGAGTGTTGTAGGCTGCACGCCACATATCCAAGACCTCTAGTGGCCTAGAGTCCAATAAAGTTCCAGGCTCATCACAAGCAGCGTGTCAGAGACAGGACTGGAAGTCCAAGTCTGCGGGCCTCAGACACCAGCTTGCTATCCACTATGCTATGCCACTGCTGGAGAAGTGGTAGCTAGTGTGCATTTTAAAGTATGATTAAGTGACTTTATTATTTAAAGTTAAGTATGTAAACATTTTTTAAAAGTATACAAAAGTATTAAAACAAAACAGAAAAAGTATTAAAACTTTTTTTAAAAAAAGAAATAATTACTGTTTCCTCCACTAAGATCCTACTCTAATACTTCACTGTGAAGCAGAGGGGACTCTTGTCTTCTCAAAGGCTAGGCCACTTCCATGTCAAGCTCTACAAGGAGCTACCGAAATGGAATGGATCTTGAAATATGAGTCCAGGAATGGGCTATGTCTAGAGGCCAAAGACCAGCCTAAGTTCAGGGAAGTTCCTTTCCAGATTGTCCATGGAATATTAAACTTTTTCAGCTATAACCCTCAAACACTTTCTACTAAATCATACAAGATTTGTGCTCTGCAATGGTGGGCCTTTACAAATGAAATCATAAGTTGTTGGCATATTTTAAGTACTGTTTTAAAAAAACTGATCTCTACTTATTCACCATAAAGGTATTTTGTAGAATTACTACTTTGAAAGTACCCTGAATAATATTTTTTCTACTTTTCATTATTTAGTGTTAATATAAAAGTCATACACAAAACATCTAGGAGGAGACAATCTATAAATGGTATTTGTCAGATGCTGGCATCCCATTCCTCTTAAAAATTCAAGACAGCTCCTCATCATTTATTCCTAGAGAGAGGACTCAACTCTTATGGTGCTGGTAGGTTCCAAGACTAAGTATAGACCAGGCAGAGTCCTGTGTAAAGATTAAGAATTCAAACCACATCAGAAATAATCCTTTTATGGTTTCAGAAACTTTGATCAGTTAAAATCTTGTGAAATAAATTCAGAAATATTACATATAGGTAGTCATACATTTCCTACAAATTTATGAACATAGTTGTCAAAGCTCATAGGCATACCAAAAAAGATTCATCAATTATTACTATGTTAAGGTTTTCACTATAACTTTATTTACACATAAAACATTAGTGGCATTTAGTGAATGTTGCCATTCATTCTTGTGGGTGCCAGATTGCACTCTAATTCTAATGCATAATGCAAATTAAAATTAAGGTACTGTGCTAAAAACTTTGTGCCTATAAGTCTCACAGAGGTTTAATTTAGACTGTAGGAAGTTTCCTAGTCACCAGCTATTAATTATTTTCCAAAGAAAATCAAAGGAAACAGAGTCAGATACACTTTAGGATAGGCGCCAGTAATCTTGGCTATGGAAGACCTTTGGTGTTAGAGCCAACAAGGAAAGAGACCAACTTCTGACTAATCAAAAATTCTAAAGTTGGACCCAGGACATGGATAAGCACAGCTGTGATTATACCAGCAAATGCTGCCCTTGGGAGGCTCATAAAATTCCCTTAAGGCAAGAAATAGAGGAAAAGAAAGGGTATGTGGCTTTCTCTTCCTGTACCCCTGGCCCTGGAATTATACTTTGGATTCAGCAGGGGTGAAGAGATTATGGTGGAGGGCAGTCTTTGATGTGCATGATACACACATGTGACCTTTGGGATATATGGAATGAAGAGTAATTAGAATGGAGTCTGCCAAGGGCAGTAAGGTGTTAATCTCTGTTTTGAGAGAATAGTTTCAGCACATGCTGAGAAGCGAATAATTAACTTAGAAAGGATAGCACTTGCTTTCAGAAATAATGTGAACAGATGAAGAACATACTTTCTAACCTATAATTACATTAAAATATTCCAGCTTTAATATCCACAGGATAAAATATTCTTACTAGGAAAAGCTAGAAATGCCAGCATGCACACTTAACCAAATAGTTTGGTCCGTGATTATTTTTCACTAATGGAGCCTTTAGAGAATAACATCTTCCAAGGGACTTTCAACAAAAAATTTGCAAATTTTAGAATTGGACACATCAGTTTTCAAAGCGTTGGTTCACCATTACTAAGGTGACCTCAAGATATGCCTTACAACTGTCCTTATATACACAAGACACATATAACTATTAAGTTCTCTTATATGACTGTACTATGGCCAACAGACATATCAATGTTATCCAAAAACAACTTTAAAAAAAATTGAAATGTAATACTATATGAATTCCCAAATTCATAATTTCATATTAGGCTGAGATCATAAGCCATCTCTACTCTTAACGTCATAATATTTTAAATGCTCACTAAAAGACCGTTTGATTTGACAACTTCAAGGTGTCATATTTGTTTGTAGTGGCTAACAGAGGAGCTCATACAAAGTGAACCACATTCTTGAAACAGGCTCTACTAATTGCTCTTCAGGAAATAGCAATGGTAATCTCATGTTTTAAAAAGGAGGAAATTAAGGGGGAAAAAATTCCATTTTCCCCCAATTGTCAGTCTATTAGGGAGATTCTATAAAAAGAAGAATCAGAACCAGTTTGTATCACTATTAGCATAATTTTTGAGAATTATGATTAATATGAGCAAGTAAGAAAATTTTGTTTTGAACAAGACTTTAAAATATACAAAAAAATGGAAAATAAAATCATTAACTTAAAAACATTTGGAAAGTTAAAGCTTTAAAGCAAGGAATAACTTGCTTTACAAATAAAGAAGAGTAGGTTTATTTTTAAAGGGAATAAAGCCTACCTATAATAATATAATTCCTAATTCAGCCCAGCTTTAAACAACTCAAAACACTATCACCTCCATTGAGCCATCTAGTCCAGAATGTAATTATTTCTAGTGCCTCAGCGGGAATACCTGGTCCCACCAAGCTACAGTACATACCGTTGCTGGAGATGAACGTGAAGTATGGGACAGAGAATGTCTAGTGTTATCCATCCCCCCATGAATGAGATAGGCTCCTGAGCTGGAGATGATCTGACTCCCCCCAACGTCCATGGTGATGCCCACCATACTGTGAGAAGGAATGGCTGATGGAGAGGATGCCACAGTAGTCACCTGAGCTCCACCTCCTGGTGACTCAAAGTAGGAAGCAGCACTGCTAGGGGCATAAATCTGAGCTTCAGTGTTGTAGGAATAGGCAGTTCGTCTGTTAAAGGAATTAGAATTTATTAATTAATTAAAGGAATTAGAGTTTATATACCAAATGATTATCTAATCTCAGCTGCAAAAGAAGTAGAGTAAAATTTCATTAGTGCCCATCTATTGAGACATGCCTAAACACACTGTGATACATGAATGTAAAAAATAATTTATAAGAAGAATTCTAAGAAGCACAGGAAGGCTTACAGGATATAAAACAGAACAACAAACAATCAAAACTGAACAATGTATAATTATGACAACAAAGATAGGCCCTACAGAACTGAGATTAGAATGAGACTCTCTCTTTCTTCTTTACGTTGGTGGTAGACTATGAGCGTGAAGTGCTGTACATACTGTCAGACTTGGTTCACATATTGGTGGGTTTTGCAATACTGTTTTTTAACTTTCCCTTAAAGTCTCTGGCAGAAGGAACATCTGTCTGGGTAGGGGCGGGGAGGAATATATTGCGGAAGGAAGGTAATACAAGGACAAAAGCTATCAATAATTTTTTTTAAACAAGTTTAGTAGCAATGCAGGTAAGCTAGATTGGGAGTTATTCCCAGCCTTCAAGTATGGATCTTCACTATAATCTCATAAAAATCATACTTTCTGAGATGCCACCAAGAGTGCCACGAGGTATAATGCTGTGTCTTAGTGGTTGCCACCAAACCCGCACCGTGCCTACGTGAAAGCTACAAGAGGCATCTTTTCCAAGCTATGTCTTTAGTTTTGCTGCTCCATCACTGCCATGTTATTCAACATCACCATGATCATAAATACTTACTAAGAAATCTCATGCCAAAGCATGGACAACACATGTTTTTAAAAAGAAAAGACTCACTTACATGGCTCCATTGGTGTAGACGGTATCTCCTCCTTCCACATATTGGACCTGGGTTGGATAGACATGCTGAACAGGTTGTACCTGGAATGAACATGAAATACTTGTATTAGGGACAACACAATTTTCTTTATAACAATTTCTGATATTTTAGGCTAAAACTATCTAATCTGATGATACCAACGGTAAAGAGCACATACTATGATAGACCTATTTCCTTCAAACAATGAGTGGCTTAATCATCCTGGCATGTGCAGGGGAAGCAGGTTTGTTACAGGATTTTCATGTACAGAAGGGATGAGAAACACATAGGTGAGAAACATGCTCCCTGTATATCCACTGGGTCTACACATATATAAAACTCAGTAGAAAATGAAGTAAAAAAGAGAACTTGTATATCCAGAAAAGGAATAGATTATCCTGGCCAATAACCAGTGGAGAAAGTGGGGTAACTGCTTTCAACAAAGCTCTGATGAAACCTCTGATTATCCCACTGCTATCTCCTCTGAAGAGACAAACTTACAACCATTTCAAAGTAATTACCTTTTCCCTGTTGCAATTATATAAGTTAAAAGCCCACAGGATGGTACTAGAGGCTAACATTCTCTTCACTATCCATACATGAGCCCAGATAGAGGGTAGAACATAAGGAAGTTGAAGGGCAGTGTCCTTTTGTGCTGAAGGATAAATAGTAAATCCCCCAAGGTTGTACAACAGAAGCATGGTCTCATATTGCTGATCCCTTAACACAAAGATGGAAGAAGCAGAAGGCAGGAAGAGATGGCTGCTACCAGAAATGATCAGTCTGTCTGGCTTGGCTGTGTGACTTTGATTAAGTCATTTGACCTCTATGGCCCTGCCTCTGTTTCCTCATCTTTAAAATGAAAGAATTGGCTTAGATAATCTGTAAGGTTCCTTTCAGCTCTACCATCTTCTCTGATTCAACAATGAGTAATACTTTAAATAATAGGGACAGTGTATGCTTTGCATATTTCTTCCCCTTCCTCCACCTCTCAGTGCCCACCTCTCAGGAGTCCCTGGCATCACCACCAGAGCCATAGATTGGTCACAGTTCCCTGGATTATTATCAAGTGTAGGACTATGAAAAGGATGAGAATAAAGGTAGGAGGGGAAAAGTGAAAGAGACTACTAGTGATAGTGAGAAAGACAATGGAAAAAATTTCTATCCCAGACATTTATCTTGTTATGTTGATGTGGTTACTTCTGGCTGGGAATATGCTCTAGGGTTTTCCTTCTACTGGAGCTTTAGCCGAAGTCTATGTGCATGACATACCAGGTAAGCTGGAGAAGCCCAGCCCATTGCATCACCGAAAGGGAGAATTGAAAGGGACCTTACACACCAGGTTCTTCGTTTTACAGATAAACTGAGACACAAGAGAGGAGAGATGGCTCACCCCAGTGATCACATAGCTAGGCACTGAAGGAACCAGAAAATAGAACTCAGGCTTCCTGATTCCCAGACCAGGTCTCTCTCTTCAGGATACAACATTTTACAAGTAAATCTCAAAGCTCTTTCCAATGACAGAGTAATTCCTTTAAAGCTGCTCTTGGGGAAGGAGAAGGGGAATATTCACTATACAGGGGAATAGCATTCTACTAAGCTTTTAGAGTATTCCTACTTCCTAATTTCCATATACTCCAACCCTGCCCCCACCCAATGTCCCACAGATATGCCCACCTTTCCCACTGTACCCTCTGGAACTGCTAATGTACACTTAACAAACTTCCCCTGTGGGAGTTACTAATCAAGATGGAAATGCTTCAAGTAGAATGGGTCTGGTGACAGATTGTCATCCAATGACAAGTTTAGTAAAGTCTTGAGAGCTTAGCGCCTTAAAACGGGATACTAGGTGATGATCTGGGGCCATGGCATTATACTATCTACTACGATGTGGGTTGCAAACTATATTAAAGGAGAAAGTATCCCAACTAATGAAATCAAGGATCTTTTCAAGTATTAGAGTATATTTTCAGTCTAATTATAAAGTATATCAGATTAACAACAATGCAAAAGCTATATATAAGGCCATCTTTCCTATTCTTCTCTAAGCCTCCCTGAGAAACTGAATGGAAATTTTAAAAAAAATTATCTGTAGCTTCCAGAACAACTTTTTGGGTAAAAAACTTAGGCTGTGCCATAAAGGGAAGAAAATGCTTACATAGCACCAGAATTTAATGCTTAAGTCCAGATCAGTGTTACAGGAAAGATGCCAGTGTGTCAGACTTTGAGTCAGGAAGACCTGGGTTCAAATTTCACATTAGGCACTTACTTCCTGTCTAATCCTGGGAAAGTCACTTAATCACTCTGAGCCTCCATTTTCTCATCTGTAAAATGAAATTGGACCCCATGACCAACCTATAAGGTCTCCTTCTTCCAGTTCCAAATCTCTGGTCCTATTATCCCACTGCCACATGTATCAGGAAAATATGGCTTTCTGCCAAAGACTGCTTTACATTTAACTACTTCACCAAGTTGTGTGTGTAAAATGAAGCTTGCAAACTCTAAGAAAAAAGGTCTCCATTTCCCCACCTTAAACCCAGGGTGTGTGTGTGTGTGTGTGTGTGTGTGTGTGTGTGTGTGTGTGTGTGTGAGAGAGAGAGAGAGAGAGAGAGAGAGAGAGAGAGAGAGAGAGAGAGTGAGTATATACAAGTGAGTATGTACAGATTCAAGCAGGAAGAGAAAACAATCTGTCTAAAGTGATACACCAGTTCTAGAGAGAGAATGTTATCTGCTTTGATCTCTGAGAGGTAAGCTAAGTAAGGAGAGAATACCTACAGGCAAACTGAATCCTAAGGAGGGTACTCACGGTGTCGCTTCAGTATGTTGTGTTGAGTACTGCAAATTCCCAATCAGCCAAACCCATACTCAAAATCCCAAAGCCAAGATTTTTGCGACTCTCTAACTCTTTCAGATTAAATGTATTACAGTTTCCTGGCCTCAACCCAACTCAGCAATTCAAATATATATATTCTAGAGTAATGAAACCACCTGCAAATACTAAAAGCTACTATCACCATCTTTAAACATACACACAGAACAGGCAACATCTCAAACTCAACATGTTCTAATCAGAATTTTATCATCTTTCCCTAAAAATCAATTCTTTCTGACTTCTGTTTCTATCAAGGACATCCTCATCTTGTCCCCAGTACTCAAAACTTTAGGGGTTGTTTCTTTTTTTAAGATCCTCCCTCCCTTTTCTACCTCCCACATCCAAATCAGTTAACAAGTCCTGCTGTACTTCTTCAATAGGTCTCCTAAAAGGAACATTCCTGTTGACAACATTTGAAATTGGGACTAAAGCAAAAGCTTCCTAACAGATCTCCTTGCCATCACTTTCTCCTCACTCCAAACCAGTCTCTGTACTGCTGTCAAACAAATGTTCTTCACAGTTGCCCTATAGTTTAGAGTTGCTTTGGCTATGTTCCTTTTTAGCTCAAAATCCTCAGTGGTTCCCTACTGAATTCCCATTCCCTGATGAACAGAGTTCAAACTCTTTACTTTATCCTGATTTTCATATCCTTCTGGAATTATTTCCTACTACTCCCTTCCATATAACACTATGTTCCAGCCAAAATGGACTGTTTTCACATCCTATGTCTTTGTTAATGTCATTTCCTAAGCCTGGAATCAACAAGCATTTTTCAAACACCAACTATGTGATAGGGACTGTACTAGATACTAGGGGTACTGGGGATACAAAGACAGAAGTGAAATAGTTTCTGCCCTCAAGGAGCTTACATTCTTATCGAGGGAGATAACACATACGCATAAATACAAGGTAATCTGGAGGAAGGCCAGACATGAGCAGTTGTAGGGATCAGCAATAGCTTCACACAGAAGGGAACACTTGAGCTGAGTCTTGAAGCAAACTAGACATATAGAAAAGAGCCCGTTTCAGGTATGGGGGACAGATAGTGAAAAGTCAAAAGACCAGAGATGTAGTGGCATGGCTGAGGAAGAAGGGCAATTGGGCTTGACCCTACGTCCATGAAGGATTATAATTTGTGGCTGGAAAGGTAGGTTGGGGCTTAGTCCTTCTGAAGGTCTTCAAGCTGAGACTGAACTTTTTGGACATGGAATAATGGAGATTCTTTTTATGTAGAGGTTGGACTAGACAGCTGCTGATCTCTCTTCCAACTCTCAAATTCTGTCATTTTGTGAAGTTGTGAAGGACTTAAAATGCCAGAAGAGTTTACGTTGGATCCTAGAGGTAAGAGGGAGTTACTGAAGTTTACTAAGGAGAGTGACATGCTTATACTTAAGAAAGTTATACCTTAAGAAAATTACTTTGGCAGCTATGTTGAAGATGGGGGCAGCAAGGTGGTGAAGTGGATAAAGTACTAGGTCTGGAGTTAGGAAGACTCATCTTTGTGAGTTCAAATGTGGCCTCAGACCCTTACTAGCTGTGTGACCCTGGGCAAATAACCTAAGCCTGTTTGCCTCAGTTTCCTCATCTGTAAAATGAGCTGGAGAAGGAAATGGCAAACTACTCCAATATTTTGCCAAGAAAACCCTAAATGGGATCACAAAGAGGTGGCTATGATTGAAATGACTGAACAACAACAAAGATGTAGAAGATGGATTAAAGTGGAGAGAGAGCTTGAGTCAAGGACTTCTCCCTAATCTCTGGCTTTTAAAATACTACTTCTGGTCTTCAAGATCAGCTCAAACCCCATCTCTCCATAAAGTATTCCTTTATTATTCCAATTAGGAATGATTTTTCTTTCTTCTAACCTTGCATGATCTTCCTAACATCTCTCTAAATACCCCCTTCTTTCCTCTGATACTAACACTACCCTGGTGCAGGCCCTCGTGCCTTCACATATGGACAATTACAACAGCTTTCTGGTTGGTCTCACTGCCTCAAGAATCTCCCCACTGCAGTCTATCTTCTACTCAGCTGACAAACTGTTCTTCCTAAATAGCAGGTCTGAACACTGTCATTCCCCTATTCAATAAACACCAGTGGCTCCCTGTCACTTCTAGGATCAAATACAAAATCTTCTGTTTGGCTTTGTTTCAAAGCCCTTCACAATCTGGTTCCTACACGTGTGTATGT